GCATAACTACTTTCATAATACATAACTTGCTGTGTTTCCTTTGCTTAAACTTCCTACGTTATAACCATTTGTCTCTCTAAGTGCTGCTGGAGCTCATTTTGAGGGGCGAGGATGTATTACCTAATCTTCTCTGGTCCTCACTACAGTATCTGAAAAATGAGCTAAATAAATCTGAAGAATAAATGGGGTTTTTGATGTCACAACAAGAGACAAATCATAGCATTAACTGAGCTATATTTACATGGTATAAGTAATTAGGAAATTATCAACAATGTTTGTAACATCAAAAAGTAACAGGCTGATCTAAAACCCTCCCTTTAGTTTAAAAAAAAGAATCATATGAAGACAATGCCTTTAAGGACTTGGTGCCGTCATCTCCCCAGCCCCTGTTCTAATTCAGTAAATCCTGCAACAATAATCCTAGAACCAATTTTCCCCCTAGGACCGAGCATTAATTAAATGCCTTAGGAAACTATTCTCATCAAGAAATGCAGGCTCTGATCTTAGATTTTGCTCCATTGATTCTAAAGTTCAATACACTCTTATTGAACCCACACACACTTTAGTGGGAATTGCTTTTCACTAATTGGTCTGTTGGGAATCAATGACAGTTTTGGGACTTTTCACTCTCGTTCAGAAAGTTCCTAAACTTTATTAATGGTCATTATCAAGAAATGAAATTTGAAGATCCACAGAGAGAACCAGAAGTACTGACTTGGGCTCTCTCTGTCCCCATTAGTGGCAAGTACCACTCACTCCCAAGATGCACACCTCCCTGGAAATCACTCTTACATTGCCTGAGCAAACTGTCCAAGGCTCAGCTCACTCATTCCTCAGCCACATGTGCTTTTACACCTGGCGTTTCTGGGATGAAGTGCTTTTCATAGCCAGGCATGTGTCTCAGACAGCATCACCCAGGGCTTGCTGCCACCTGGCCCTGAGCTCTTTGTACATGTTCAAAATTTTCCCACTTCCACCGGTAACAGCAATGTCGGCAATGCACTTGATTCTAGTCATATTTCAGTTTCACTAATGACAACTCTTACATGTTCAGAGAAGCACTGCTTTAAAACTGTGAGTCCTCCTTGCTGGTTTCAAAGCTCCTCGGGCCATCTTTTGGCAGACAGACACATGGACCAACCAGCATAAAACACATAGAACAGACACCTCAAAAGAAAATCCCAGAGTGTCGACAGTACACGCTTTTATGAAAAATGTATGCTACTAACAATCTGCATGGCAAATAAAAAACATTTTGTGGAAAAAGAACAATTAAGGGCCATGATAACTCAGCAGTGTTTTAGAAGAGTTCGATCCTATAGGTGATAACGTTTAAATTTAGAAATTTAGAAAATTTAGAAGTTCCTTTAGTAACTTACACCTTTGAAAGGCTGATTGACTCTAATCTAATAGTCAAAATTTTAAAAAATCTGAAGTTCTAAGATAACGGTTACGAAAATCTGAAAATTTTAAAGTTTGAATTATTATGGAAGGTTCAATTGGTAAAATATAAATGATGCCTAAGAATTTAAGATACAGGGCACTCAACCTGTACAACAGGTACTTCACCTGTTTTATCTTTCCACCTATACCTTCTTTTATCTTTCAAAAGTACACGTTGTTTGGCCCCGAGTCGCCCACTTCCGGGGACTGCTCAAGCCCGCCCCTGGGCCTGTGCACGGACCAGGGCGAACTGGGCATGCTCCTCCTGAATAAATGATGGACATCTGTCCCTGCTGCTCACGTTTCTGCTTCAGGGGTACAACAGAATTTGACAATGCAATTGAACAAGTCTGGCAGAAAGGAGAGAATTTTGATGCATCTAATTTTAACATTTTCCAGTCATTCACAGAAATATAAGTGAATAGGTATAATTTCATACCAAACAATATGCTGTGTAGCAAGCTAATAAAATGATGTGGAAAATGCAGATGGTAGGCACCAGGTTGCTAAGCATGCTTGCCACGCCTCCCCTGCCACACAGACCATTACACTGCCCCCAGTCTAAGCACCAGCTCTCTTACCAGGCCGGACCCAGGGATGAGAATGTCACACTTTCACTTCTCTAGTTCTACCCTTGACAAAATTTCCTGCTGTTAACTGCCTCTAATGAGAGTGAGAGAACCTGGAACTTGCAAATCAGATGCACAAAATTATAATAAATGTTAACAATTACTAATGAGCAAATGACACCCAAAATTCAGAGAGGGGGAAAAATAAAAATAAGCTATACTGAGAAGGACAGATTCCAGTTTGATTCCTGGCTGTGCAACTTCTCAAGCAGCTTTCTGCTAATGCAGCTGAGAAGGAACGATACCTCAGGGACACGTGGAGGGCGCAGAGGGAGTCCCTAGATGCTGGCTTTGGCTTTGTTCCGCCCTGGCTGGTGCAGTTAGAGGATCAAAGGTCTCTTGTTCGTCTTTCTTTCTCACTCTCACTCCATTAATTCATTATTACAATGTTAGCATTTATAGGGAGGAGAATGACGCAATATATTTATACCTACAGGGGTTGTATGAACTGGTATCACTTTCCATGAAAAAAAAATTACCATAATGTGAGGAAGCTTTCAAATGTTCCTATGCCTGGTCTAGTACGTAAGTAGAGACTTGCTTATCTTTACACATGTGGTAGGCATCACCTTATTTCTCCTGATTTATTATGGTGGGCAGCAACAATGGAGCATGTACTCATTCGAAGGAGTCACACCTTAGCAATTTCTACATCCTCCTGACTCTTCAAGAAATAGAAACCCAATAACGACAGCTATGCTGTAGCCTCCTGTTAGGTGGATCCACCCATTGCACATTTCCTGCAAGTTTTGGCTATGGATATGTCTTAGCAAGAGCTCTCCATGGAAGACAGTTCTTCGCACTTAAACAAGAAGCTGCATTCAGAAACTGGAATCGAGCAAATCATATAATTTCTGAAAAACAGCAGGTTATCATGTTTTCTTACATGCCTGTTATAGGGCGATGCAATGTTGTGTGCTGTTTCATACACACTCACTAATTCCTACTTTCAAATAAAGTTTAAAAATGTAGGCTTTACTTCCTCCAATATAAGAAAAAACAAACAAACAAACAAAAAAACCCCAAAAAACAAACCAAAAGACAGAGCTTATGAATGACCTGGATTAAGGCATTAAGTGACAGAGCTCTGGTTTAAACCTTCAGAGCCCAAAGGAATGTGTGAAGATTATTTCTAAATACTAACATAATTTTTAAAAGAAGTTAGTCTGGCAAAAACAAAACTTTAAAAAGGAGAAAACGTATTTTCTAAGACAACAAACAAAAGCTTTGACTATTATAGACCATGTTGAATCCAGTGTTTATATTTTCCATGCATCTTAGAGTTCAGATTAAAAATAGAGGTTGTAGAAGACAAATTCATACTGATTATCAGAAAAGCCCAGTTGGACACATAGTAATGTGAATCTCTAGTTGAGAACATCAGTTCAGAAATTTCTGCAGGTTCAGTTCATGCCTCTTAAAGATATAAGAAATTAACAAAGACTGGTGCAGATAGGTGTGAATGGGCTAACAAGTCCGAAAAGGAGAGAAGGCTGGTTGTTACTTGGACAGAAGCCTATGGAAATGACAGAACAGACAAGACAATTAGATTTTTCTACAAAAGAACAGGGAGATAGGCACATCCGAGGCCAGGGGCAGGGCAGCGAGCCCAAGGAAATGCCAACCAGTGAGAAGCTATTCAGTTCATTTATACATGAAACAATCACTTTAAGGTCCATAAAAATAAATGTATCAGATTGCTATGGCAGTGAATCTCTTCCTTTTCATAAATGTTATTTTTAAAATAGCACATATGTTTGAAAAGATTCATTTTCTTATGAAAGTTTCACTTTCAACTATTTAACCAGACTGTGAGTTCCATTAGATTCTCAATTTCCAGCCAGACCAAAATAGGCAGCAGAATGAGTTCGTAACTACCAAGTAAATACAGGACCAAGACCCTTCGGGGTAATGAGTGCAGCTGAGACACATCTGGCTGCGAGCAGGCTCCAGCTAGCAAAGCCATTGCACAAGGAATGGTTTTTTTTTTTTTTTTTTAGATTTTTAAGGGACACATAACACACCCCGTTTAGATATCAATACAATCTGACTGTGAATAAATATTTTACAGTTTTGCAAGAATAAAGTTTTGAACTTGAAATTGCCCTATTGGATGCAGTGAAACCTCTCTATATCTTCTGGGTCTGCAGTTTCCTTTTAGGAATGTGTAAAGACTGCTGTATCAAACATCTCTTTCTCACATCGAATCCTCAAATCTCAATCTTATCTTTTGCCTGTGACAGTGTCACACTGGCGAAATTTGTTTAGCTGTAGCTTGCATCTAAACCATGTCCATGAATAACATCCATGAATCAATTGTTCATTTCAAACATTTCTGGATTTGATTCTAACCATTTGTCGTGATGAAGAAAGTGACATCTTTGTTTTCTACGGCTACGTATAAAATCTGAGACATACATCTCACAAATTATGGATTTGCCAGTATTTCCTCAGTTATTCTGAATTAATATCCTCCTCGACCAATGTTAGTAATCATCTGTATGAACAAGAAATATGCTGATCCATCTCAAACCAAATTGGCAATTAAGAAACAATTTTATATAAAACTCACTTCACATTGTTCTTTTCAAATTTGAAAAAATAATGCAAACAGGTAGACATTTAAAAAATCTTGCTGCATGTTTCTGCATTTAAAATATGTAGTATTATAATAAAATTGCAAAGTATGTAACATTATAAAGATAATACGAAAACAGTGCAACGTTAATGTAGGAGAATAGTGGCAATGCACTTACAAATTTACTTGAAAAAGAAGTAGTTCATCCATTTCATCCAAATATCTATAAGAATCTAAAGAAAATGTATACATATAAACTCTGGATCCCACTGTCTGTAATGGCAGACAGAGCCCCTCTCTCCTAAGCCAGCCACCCTCCTCCTGCACTGGGTTGCTGTGTGGGAACTCACCTTCCTGACTCAAAGGTGAACCACGTTGAGTCTCGGCCGTACCTCCTCAGGGAGCTGAGCGGCCACATCACCAGTTTGACCTTGGCATTGTGGATATCCCAGAGATAGATGTTCTCATGCGTGATCTGCATGGTGCATTCACCGTAAATATCCAGATTTGGTGTTGGCATCAGATACACATTGAAGCGTTCTACAGAGAAATAAGAAAGGCAGGGTATTAAGTGAGAAGAGGTGTGAGGAGGGCAGCTCTCTAAACCTTGGTCTGTTCAGACTTCAGAAAGCAATTGTTGTGTATCTGGGTGACAATGCTGGGAATCACAAAACATTTCCTCTTCCCATTCTGGGTGAGCGAAAGGGTTCATTGTTCTTATCAATTCATTCATTCATTCATTCTGAAACTTTTCCTCATATTCATTCTCTGTACCAAGAGTCCAATCACTAAATTTTATGATGCAAAAGACAGGGCAAACGTGGACTCTGCTCAGGAGTCTGCACTCTGTGTAGCTGGACATCATAGACACAGTTATGGAGGGACGTATCACTTATTCTGTTTATGCAAGAAATTACTCAAAATCATTTTCTGACACATAGTATTTGATGTGTGCTCTGACTCACTAGCAATTACACACTACAAAAATGATTGTTTTAATCTCAATACAAATGTGTCATGGTGTTATTCAGTATATAATAATAGCAGATATCCATCCATACCTTTTGAGAACTTGCAGTGTTGCCTTCATAAGGAAAATAGAAACACACAACTTTTCACATTTGTATGTTCTGTGGTTGTAAAACCTAATATGAAGCAATGATTCTAACCTTTGCTTTGTAACCTTCTGTGTATCTCAAAAGCTATTCCAAAATTCTGCAGTCCCCCATTCTATTGCATGAATTTTACTTTGAAAAATAATGTTGCTTTACAAGTTCCAAAAAGTAATGAACTTGGTATACCCTTTAAACATCCAATGAAATATTCCCAGTTCCTAGCAACACATCACTGGTTTATAGTAAGTGATCAATAAACATTGGTTAACTGTATGAATGAGATAAATATATGCCATGATGAATAGTGGATGTAAGAATTGGGGAATTACAAAAAATAATGAGTCATGAAGACAAAGGTTCAAGAATTACTGCCAGACACATCTCTGTGAGTTAGAATTTAATTGTGAAAAGCTCTTTAAAGGCAGTGCTATCAGATTAATTATTTTGAAAAACGTGACAGTGCAGCTGCAGTTGGGAGAGGAGTATACTCAGGAATGTGTTCTTATTAATCAGAGTGTGTTGGTCTTTCGTGCTAAATGGTTGCTGCTACGGAGCTAGAATTGTCTGTGCAATAGAAGAATCTCTGCCCTGGTAGGCACATGAGCCAGTAAGCAGTCTCTGCTGCCAAAAACCAGTATTCAGATTTTAAATGGGTTAAATTAACGTGGGCATGACAGATTAACATTTAGTAGCCACGAAGGCAATATTTAATATGCATTGTCTGGAAGTTTCCGGACAAAACATAAAGTGATTATTTAATTTTCTCCTTAGATTACTGACCTGTGAAATTAATACATAATAAGTTTCACATTTGTTTTCTAAAGAAATGACACTCGGATCAATTTTCTAAGGGCAAAATAAAAGAATACTGTCCCACTAATTATCTGCAAAAAATAAAAGCCCAAATAAACATATATTCCATGCATCATTAAAATTCTACAACCAGATATTAACATATAACATTAAAAAATCCCTCCAATTCCTGCCTGTTGTCATTTCCATGGCAATGGTATTAGAGGAGACAGAGCAAAGGCATGACAGTGCATAATGGTGTCACATGAAACTAGACCAAGGAGACTAAGTATAGAGACAACACATGAACATCAATTTTCTCCTCTTTGGTCGAGACACATTTGGTGGAGTGAATGTCAGTAAAATTCTTTTGTGCATAGGGCATACACTGCTGTACATGTGTCAGTAGAGGCAGGCATTTGGGACAGCAATGCCTGACTCCATACCCAACTGCCAGGGCTCAAGTCTCAACTCCAGCAGGCAGTAGGTGATGGGCCAAGCACTTGGGTCAGTTCTCCCATATTGTAGACATGGACCGACTTCTCAACTCCTGTTTTACCCTGACCCAGCCAGAGACGTGTTGGGCTTCGGAGGATATTAACTAGCAGTTGGGAGATTTCTGTCTGTCTCTGCATTTTAATAATAATAAAAAAGAACTAATCAACAGAACTTGCAACTTTTTAGTAAGATGATAAAGCATCTTCCTACATTCTTTCATTTACTTCAGTTTTAGAATGAGAATAGCAGAGAATCATTGCCAAAATGTTTTGAAATCGCGCTTCTTATATAGTATTGAAACAAATATCATTAACCAGTACTTCTGTTTAAGGCTGTGCCAATCCTCAATGCTCATACTCATGGTTTGATATTTAAAAACTGTAGAAAAAAAAGTAATCTTGACATTGGGTGTCCTTCAGGCAGATGGTGTGTTAAACCTAAGAGGACCTTTTAGATTTTCACTGTAATGTCTGTAGCCCACATTTGCAGATAACAAACAGAAGAGCTCAAACATTACGCTGGGAAGCCTAGAGAAAGGTGAATACATGAATTTAGTAAGCTTCATGATATAAGGCTCTACACATCAGAATTGTTGAGGCACATCTACAAACAAGTAACAACAGTTGAACAACCTGCACCAAAAATGCTATCCCCATCTAATATAAAGCACCTACCTTCTACTTACTTCTCTTTTTTTGGCCTAGCAAAATCTTCCTTTTGTTACTATTTCTTACAATGTATGGGCTAAATTAGCTTATGAAACTTTTAATTTTCAAATGTTCAAAATCTGCTATCCCTGAGTGGTTAAATTCAAAGGATTCACATTCAACTAAAACATGGATTAATTTAATCCGATTGGAAACTAACCACATGAAGAGGAAGGAGCACATCAGCCATCAGTGCTTCACTGGATCCTGCTGGAATGAGAAAGGAAGCTTTCTACCTTTGCCATGATGGCATCTATTCATCTAGTAACATAAAACAATATTTTACTGAAATTTGTTAAGGCTGTTGATGGAAAGAGCATTTCAATATGTAATTGCTAAAATTGACTACTAAAATAATTTTTTTAGTCACTACAGCAGGCAGGCCTTTTAAATCACTCTCTAATAATGTCACTTTTTAGACTTAAGAAATACTTTGGTCTGTATTATCTAACTTTACTGCAGTAGGTTTGTTTGGCCTTCTTCATTGTTTCTGGCACAACAGGTCTGGGATGAACCTTAGTAATGCACATTTCCACTTATCCCTAGGAGATGTTGACCCTGCTGCTCTGAAGGCCACACTCGGAGAACTGTTATTTTGCGAAAATCTTTTGAAAGCATCAGCAGAGTAGTAGTCATGGTCTGGAGACGCAGGGTAGCACACAGGAAGAAGTGTCCCAGGAAACAGGCAGAACGTGGGGACACTGAGGGAGTCATCCATGCTGGAAGGGGCTGAAACCTTTCCTTCTCAGACGAGCAGTTGGAGGTAGTCAAAGGCAAAAACTAACCCAAGAGCCCATTTTTTGCTTAATGATAGGAATGCATTCTTAGCAAAGGTTCAGGCACATCTAACATCATGCAAACATTGCAAAGTATCTTAAAATGTATAAATAAGCCTACATCATATAGCCCACTGCAGATTGAGCTCATTTGTCATCATTATCAAGTAGTATGTATTATACATAATCATGTGTGCTATACTTTTACAGGACTGGCAACACAGTATGTTGTCCACATACTCCATTCATAGTAACGTGAATAATACATTACTACAGGATGTTACAGTGGCTAAAAGTTCACTTGACCATAGAAAAGTTTCATAAAACTTTAAGCAACCCCTATTATATGTGTGATACGTCATTTGTTGAAATGTGCTTATGGGGCCATATGAATGCACAGCTAATAGTCTGGGCCTTCAAGGTGGAGGTAAGAAGAGTTTGTGGCCCAAGTGAGACACAAAGAATAAGGGGTGGGAGTTGTTGACAGGATACAAAACATCATCCAATGAGTAGAAGTAATTGCAGAAAACAGAAAGGTGATGAGTTCTTTAGATAGTTTCTAAGTAATTTTTGTTGTGTAGTAGAAAAAGTGAAGCATCTAAACGGAACCACATAGGAAAATAGACATGTTTGTTCAGCTAGGTTTTATTCACAATAAATGAGAATAGTTTTAAAGTAGGGCTTTGGAATTTACTTATCGGATAAATCAGAGCATCAAGCATATGTTGTCTAGTCATTGCATTGTAACCATAAAAACAATTCATCTTTTGCTTATTAGTTTTCTTAAAACACATTTAGAAATTAGAAGCCAGTGCATTCTATTCAGTAAAGAGTCCTACTAAGTGTGTTGTTAGCTTGTTGCCTAAAGCTTTTATTAATTCACTTCATTTCTCTCTTGACTTCAGAAATTGTGGTTTCAAGCTTAGATCAAAAGTAAGTGATGGAGTGTAAATGAAGCACCACACCTAAACGTCAGGGAACTAAAAGACCCAGACACAAGTCCTCAAAGACAGGCAGGAACTGCAGGAATAATGTCAGTTAAGTAAGTGAGGGGGAAAGGTACACATCAGCAGCTAAGGATGGTTCAAAGTAGAAACCCTCACAGGAGCAGAGGCATTCTTAGATTTTTGGTGACAGATGAATTTGGAATTTGAAGAGCTACTCTTGCATTTCCCATCCTTCTTGATTGCTTGATTTTTAAAAAGATTTATTTTTATTGGACAATCAGATATACAGAGAGGAGAAACAGAGAGGAAGAGCTTCAGTCCCTGGATTCACTCCCCAAGCAACTGGCCACAACAGCTAAATCTGAGCCAATCGAAAGCCATAAGCCAGAGCCTCTTCCAGGTCTCCCACGCTGGTACAGGGTCCCAAAGCTTTGGGCCGTCCTTGACTTTCCCAGGCCACAGGCAGGGAGCCTCTGGGATTAGAACCGGCACCGGTATGAGATGCTAGAGCGTGCAAGGCAAGGATTTTAGCCACTAGGCTACCGCACTAGGCCTGATGGCTTGATTTTGAGCTCCAGGATCTTCCATTAAGTAGAGACTTAAATGTTCATTAAAATTAATTAACTTAAAGAGCTAAACATTATTAAGTTCAGTCATTTACATAAAAATCAATCACTTCATAGGTTTGTATATGTAACCTTGATA